ATCTGAATTAACAACGGAAACAAACGGCACGAATGAAAACTAAATTGATTATATCCAATTATCTTTACAAAATCTAGCATGAGAAATGTTAAAAGCTCATTCTGGCAAGAGAAATGTTAACAGCTCATAATTATTCTTAATATCCAAAAATTCTTAATTTTTTAAATTAAATTTGTGAGGATGCCAAAGGTTGTATAGCATTTTTTTATATCTCATACTTGTTAGGTAATTTTTTATCAACTTTTATTTTTCTATTACTAATTTTTATGTGCTTATGTTTGGCAGATTTTGTGTTTCACTCATGTTAAGGATCTTTTCATTTTTCTTTTTATCACTTTAGTTTGCACCAAATTTAAAAAAAAAAGGGGAAAAAAAAAGAAAAAGAAAAGTGAAAATGAGGTCTCTTTGTCCAGCAACATTGAAATCTCACCAAAAAGGGTAAGAATATATTAGACCATGTTTCATTTTATTTTAATGCCTATATTGTCCTTTGCTATATAATTGGTCTGAACTATCAATTACGACATGGTTTACAATTTTAAAATATACAATCATTTTGAGAATTTTATATTTATAATATTACTTTTATTTTGCAATTTGCGTCATGTAAGATAAGACTTAATTTGATGGTTGAAATTTGTTGCCTGAAGAAAGAAATTTGTGCCTTAAATTTTGTCCAAACCAGCATTAAACATTTTCATAATAAAAAATTGTAAATACTAAATTTTGTGTTTCTGATTGACAGATTTGTGTGATAGTCTTCTTATTGTTCTCTTCATTGGTTATTCTTCATCGATTTTTTTTTTTAAGGTAATATATCTTTATCTTGTTTCTTTTCATGTTATGTTGATATATTTGTGAGACTTTTAGGTTACAACTTTTACTAATGACTGTAAAATACTTTTTGTTATTCTTATACAACAACGTTCGTGTAATTTTATCAAAACTAAAATTGAATAATATTGGGAAACAAAGGAGAAGTGTGTAGCATAAAACTTGTGATCCCAAAAATAAAATATATAGAGGACTTTTTTATTACCCATGTATATAATTATCATTTTAAATAAAATATATAGTTTCTTATTGTTAATGGCATTATGATGTTTTTTATTCTTTTGTAACCTATGCATAAAGCATTTGTATCATGAAATAAAGTGAATGAGAAAAAAAGTCATTGTCTTCTCTATCTCTTATTTTTCTTTATACTTTCTAGTTTTTTTTATTTCTTCTCATTTTATAACATAGCTTGAATTTAAATATTATTTTGATACTTGTGAGACCCACATCAACGACAATAATTCACCTCTTCTTCTGGGCCACAAACCAAAAAAAAAAACCTCTTCTTACTATTAGGATAAGACATGACATTTATCTTCTAAATTGGGCCCAAGCTTGACCCTAAAAGATTTTCCCGCTTTATATATTAAATTTACCATTAAAACCTTACTTTATTGGAATTTAAGCGCTAAATATTCTGGGACATTTTATAAAATGTTTTGCCCTCCATACTTCATTTAATTGTTTGCCTCATAAAATAATTTCTATAAAAGTTTTGGGCCAAATCAATACTTTGATTATTTTCTAACTATTTTTTCTTGAATTATTTAAGAAAACAGGACCTTAATTCTCATACAAATTAGTTTTAAAATCATGTAAGCTATTTTTGGAAAAATATACCTCTTCCATAATATATCCAAATCCTCAAATAATGTTAATGTTGCCCCAATTTTCAAGACTTTGAATAATTTTATAAATTATTTCTTCTTTATTTTTTTAAAATTTCATCCAAAAATAGGCTTCTTGGCGAATAATTAATTTTTTAGGCAATTTAATTTTGAATAATATCTCTAAGCCTTAAATATGTCTTAGACAAGCTCTCTTATACTTTTCCAGATTTCATTGTATAGAATGAATAATATATAGTTTATTATATATATTTTGCTCACGTATTTTATACGGCCTATATATATATATATATATATATATATATATATATATATAAGGCCGTTTTCTTTGCACTGCATAGCTAGATCTTATTCTACATATTACATGTTCAATCATAAAATTTAGCTCAGACAATCATGACAATCAATCACACAAACAACTAACCAACCCAATATTAATATTCAAGTCAATAACTTTGCTACCTTTTCCTTTGGTATGACCTTTTTATTTGAAAATTTGATAAATATACATTATGATTTTTTTGTTGCATAGTTTTAATTATAAGAGATGCGTATTTCCTACTTTGCTACCTTTTCCTTTGGTACGACCTTTTTATTTGAAAATTTGATAAATATACATTATTATTTTTTGTTGCATAGTTTTAATTATAAGAGATGCGTATTTCCTTTTGATCCCAAATGATATTATGTGAAGGAATTAATTTTTAATCACTTTCATCTCAGACTTGTTATATATTTTCTATCAATAATATTTCTCATATAATGAATTCTTTTGCATATTTTTGGTTGGCAGGACTTGACTTCTTGTACTAATTCAGGGGACTAAAATTTCTCCAAAAAAAGAGAGGTAAGGATATAATCTAATTTGCTAGTGTTTCTCTTTATTATTTTTATATCATCTTTATGTTTCTATTGTTATTTTCCTTACGCTTGAGAGAGAGAGATATATATATATATATATCAATTCTATTTTTAAAATTAATCATATTTTTAGCATTTTGGTGATGACTTCTATTACGAAGTGTGAAGTGTGTCATATATCCAACACACCAAAAGAACAAAAGTAAATGTGATATTCTAAAACTTGTTAGACTGTTGGTGAGGGGCTCTTGTCCTAGTCTTGCTTGGACTTTTTTCTTTCACCCTGCATTACTTCTCTTCTTGCCGAAATATGGGGAAGGGCAACCTTTAGGGCCTGTTTGGATTGAAGACAGGATGGGGGAGGGTGGGAGAGGTTTTAACTGATGGAATATGAAAAAATAATTATAATTTTATTATATTTTTAGGATATTTGATTTATTTGGATTTATTATCATTTTAGGATTTATTTATATTTATTAGTAGTTTAGTATTTTTATTATTAGGATTAGTTGTTGTTGTTGTTATTGTTATTGTTATTATTATTGCTTTAGTATAATTAGATTTAAGGTTTTCATTCTATTGCAGACTTGATTATTGAATGACGTTGCAGTTATCGTTTTCTCTCGGCTTGTTTCCTCTTCTCTATTTTCTATTTCCCTTCTTTGCTCTTTCTAATCTCTTCCTTTTCTCTTCCCTCTTCTCATTTTATATCATCAACCTTACCTTATTTGGTTTGATTAAAGAGGAGGAGAGGGAGAAATATTTAATGATCCTTTGTTTAATTCAAGAGAGGGAGGAGATGGATAGTAATAATGAATTTATCATTTTACCCTCACATATAAATTTTTATTTCTATTTATATATTACATAAATTAATTTATCTTAATTCAAATTATATAATTTAATAAAAATGCAATATTGTTATATTAATATGTGTATTAAACAATTGGTACTTTTTTTAAAAAAATGAAAATTTTCTTCTCCTTTGGCTATGCTTTTTCTTCGTGCTTTAAAACATATTTGAGTTAATAAAATAATATTTTTGTAAAAACTAATTAATTTATAATAAGATAATTTTTCACTGTAATAATATTTTTTATTTTAAATTAATTTTTATTATAATATATTTTTAATTATAATAATATATATTTATTTAGAGTAATGTATTTTTAATTTAAATTATAATAATATATTTTTTATGTGTATTAATAAAATATTAAAAAAAAGTAACAAGGTAAAATGGTCTAAAAATTTAGTTTCCCTCTAAAAAAACTCTAATTTAGAGGGGAGCTAAAAGAGGAGAAAGTGAGGGAGGAGGGGGAATTTTCGCTCCCCTCTGCTCTAACATTTCTAACCAAATAAGAAGAAGCGCTCATTTTTCCTTTCCTTCAACCAAACAGGCTCTTAGAGATGGCTCCCTCCAACCAAACAGGCTTTTAGAGATGGCTAGGATTGGGGCTACTTTTAGTAGGCGTGCATTCTCATTAGTGTTGAAATTGATTTGTTATGCTACATGTATGAGGACATCTCACGTACAATTCGGGTGTTGTTGGAATTGTCTCTCCTAGAGGTAGCAAAAAAAACTCAATCAAAGCAATTAGTAAGAGGCAGGGACCGATCTACAAAAGCAAATAAGAAGTGAAGAGAGACTAGAGCTAAAACCTGGAGTAGCAGCAGAGTGATCTAAAGTGAATGAGCAATGAAAACAATATATATTATTGTCCCAGAATTCTTTTGGCTTATCCACGAAGGCACCATTCGCTAGTTTCATAAGTAGATCAGAGGTGTATAACCATAGAGGATTATTTCCCAAATTTCGAATTTCATCCCTTGATGAATACTTCCATCTTTTTCCTTCTCTTCCTAAAGTTGAAGCCTTAGAAGATTGGTGGAGAAAGATCAAAGGATGATTTATTCATGCCATTTTGAAGAAGTTTCTCAGATGATGGTTATGAAAGGGTTTTGCTAGGCATGATACACAATAATTAAGTCAAAAATATTGGTGGTTACTAATAGGATTGGCATGATTTAGGTACAACAGGAGATGCCAAAGATTGGGGGGCTGTTTGCCTGTTCTAATGAAAACTTTTGTCTCTCATTTCTTCTATATCACATGGTTCCCTAGTCTCACTGTCCATTAAGCCATTCCTTCAAATAGCAAATTTTAATGTAGTCTAGGTGGCCTCCGATTTGAAACCACTATCCAAATCCAGCTTCAACATGCATTAGTTGAGTCATAACAATGTATGACTAATAGTGAATTTCTTTCAGCGTTCAACTTCATGTATTTTACTTTCTAAGATGATTACACTAAGTACCAAATTAGTATAAATTTTGCTCCTCTTTTTAGTTAGTCTCCTTCATTTTTCATCTTATTATAATCATTATGTGGGTATTTCACAACTTAAATCAAGATAGAAAGATAGAATAACATTAACTTTATTTCCCTGTTAGATGGAGAGCATCCCTGCTGAACTTATAAAGAACGAAACCCAAAGTTTAGTGAACTTGGTGAAAAATGAAGCTCAATATATATGTTGCTTCAATAGTTATGTTCAAGAGTATGAGCAGGCAAAAAACAGATTGAAAGCAAAACTCGAAGATGTAAGGAGAATAATTGATCAAGCTAGAGGTGTTTCTCTTGTCACATCTGTGGCACTACAGTGGACACGTGAAGCTGAAGAACTCATTCATGTTGACACTAAGAAAGAGAAATGCTTTAATGATTTGTGTCTTAATTGCTGGCCTCAATATCAGAAAGGTAGAGACTTGGCGAAGAGGACTCTAGATATTGACAGACTTCTAAAGAGATGTAACTTTGATATAGTGGCAGGTCCAACTGATCTTCTAGGTATAAAATACCATTGCTTACCAAATTTCATGCATTTTGAGAGCAGAAAGTCAATATTTAAAGAACTTCAAAAGGCACTAGAAGATGAAGAAAACAATATGATCGGACTGGAAGGCTTAGGGGGAACAGGCAAAACTTCAATGGCAACAGAAGTGGGTGCTAAATTGGAAGGATCCACATTTGGCAAGGTCATCTTTCTTGTTGTCTCTAAGCTTCCAGATTTCAAACATCTTCGAGGTGAAATTGCTGCACGTTTGGATTTGAAATCAGAGGATGGAGAGTACCGTGAAAAAATATTGACCAAAATCAAAGAGTTAAAAGAGAAACTTCTTATAGTACTGGATGATGTGTGGATGGAGTTTGATCTCATGCAAGAGTTGGGGATCCCTCCTCGCCACTTGCACAAGGGTTGCACTATATTGATAACCACCCGGAGCAAAGAGATTTGTACAAAAATGGATTGTCAAAGGATCATTCATCTACATGCATTGATTGATAAGGAAGCATTGCAACTTTTCCTCGAGCATGCTAATAGCTCCTCTACTTTGGAGAATCTGGCGCAAAAAATTGTGAAACATTGCCATGGAGTACCAGTTGTAATTGTAGCTATAGCAAGGTCATTAAAAGGTCGACCTTTTAAAGTTTGGACAGAAGCCTTGAGGAACTTGCAAAGTGGTGAGTCAATATTTAATGTTCGTGATGAAGATTTGAAGAAGGTCTATGAAGGTTTAAAGTTAAGCTATGATAATTTGAGAAATGAAAAGGCCAAAAAGCTCCTATTGATATCTTCTCTATTCCCCGAAGATTTTAATATTCCCATGGAGTTTTTAATTAGAATTGGTGTAGGAATGGGCCCTTTTGGTAAGGAAGTTGATGACTACAACAAAAGAAGAAGAAAAGCACTTGATGCTGTAGTGGAACTCCTAGGTTCTTCTTTATTGTTGAATGCTGAGAGGGAATGTGTAAAGATACATGATTTAGTTCATGAAGTAGCCTTATTGATAGGACAAGAAGATATTCAATCCATCATTAAATCTGAACTATCTGTTAGAAAAGGGTTGCAATGTTTATATTGGAAAAATGATGATTTTTCAAGACCTTTTGATAGTCAAAACCTTGAGGTATTATTTCTAGTTCGAGATGATCGAAAGGATTTGGAAGTCCCTGATACATTCTTTACAGAGATGACAAAGCTCAAAGTTTTGTTTTTACAAAGTAAAGCTTGGCATCGAATTTCAGCTCCATCACTGTTTCCATTAATTCAGTTATTACAAGATATTCGAACTCTCAGGATAAAGAATTTTAATTTACATAGCAACATCTCTAGGTTGGGAGGGTTATCAAATCTTGAGACACTTTGGTTGGATGATTGTTCAATCATTAAACCTGAAAAAAAATTTGAGCTACAGAAGTTGAGATTCTTAAGGATAGAAAATTGTGACAGTAATATGAATAATCCTTTTGAATTGATTGAAGCATGCCCAAAGCTAGAGGAGTTGGCTTTTTTGAGTAATGATTATGTCAAGCAGGAAGAAGATACAATTTCTCAAAAAGTATCTCTTCCTTCCTTACAAATATATCAAATATCTTCTAAGGGCAACTTTTTGGATTATTTTAAGCAATGTGGTTCCCTGTCAAGATGCTTTCAGCCAGGTAGTTTAACGCATTTAATCTCTGAGGCAACATTTAGGCAACTTGCAAGAACAGCTGAGCTTCTTAGCTTAAGTGGGTATGGAAAACAGAAAAATCTTATCCCTGACATTGTTCCAGTAGATGACACAGGTATGACTGACTTGATCATTCTTCAATTGGATTCTTGGCCTGACATGCAATGTCTCATTGATGGTGTGAACAATCGCTTTGACGTGAAGAATGCCTTTTCCAATTTAGTTGGACTATATCTTTCTAAAATGGGACTAAGCAATATATTATTTAATGGCCACTATAACCTGTCTCATCTGAAGACCTTGAAACTGAAGGAGTGTCCAAACCTGACGTCAATTTTCCTCCCATCCACTGCTCAAGGTCTTTTGCAGTTAGAAGAGTTGAACATTGAGGGATGTGATGCGTTGGAATGCATTGTAGAAGATAAGAGCTCAAGCGGGGAAATAGCTGGTGGTGATGGTGACAATGATCAAAAGAGCTACGACACTCTGTTTCCAAAGTTTAAAATTCTTGAAATTTATAGTTGTGACAATTTAGAAATAATATTGCCAATCCTTCATGGTGGATGGCCTCTGGAAAGAATAAGCATACGGTGGTGCAAGAAGTTGAAATATATATTTGATAAGTTCCAAGAGGTCAATCTTATGCTCCCCTCTCTCGAAAGAATGGAACTTTTTGGCCTACCAAGTTTGGTTGGTTTTTTCAGGGAGTATGAAAAATCCATCTCTTCATCACTGCAACAGCCAGCACCCATGCCTCCAAGCACCAAGACACGTTCTTTTTCTTGGGCTCAAGTATGTTGTTTTAAATCAAAGGCGACAAGTGAAGAGGCTGTTGATGCTGTTTCTACAAAGAGATTGCTTGATGAAGGAATCCCACAGGTATTCTAATCTCGCTTCCCTATTTATGTTTAGTTTTTTTTTTTTTAACATTCACGTTTCCCTCTCTTGTGAATTATACATTGTTAATTATTTCAAAAAGAAAAATGATTTACAATCAAATAAAATAAGGTATGAGTGTTAAAAATGTTTACCGTGATCCTTGGTATTATACATTGTTTAAAATTGATTTGAACTACTTGTTTTTGCATGACTGACTGAATCTGTAACAAGTTTTGTAAATACATCTTGTTATAACAATTGTTCCTGGGCAAAAATACACATACATAAACATATTCATGTGCATGCACGCATGCCTTTTATTGCAAGAAATATAGTTAACAATGCTCAACACATAAAAAGTTTACGGTATCGCTTCAATTCTTATTTTCATAGTTTCAATATGCATATTTTAAATTTTTAAATACTTAACTTTGATTTGCTTTGCTAGTCAGCTTTGATGTTTTCAACACTCATATTTGATTTTTTTTCGAAGTAGGGTAAACATTAAAAATGAGTATTAAATAGATAAAAGTATTGAAAACATTGAAAATAGAAGTATTAAAAAAATCAAAGCAGAGTAATGAAAAAATCAATTCAGCGAAACTTTTGATTTCAACCAAGAACTTTTGCCCGTCCTTGATATTTTCGAAATTCACTGTCCTTGACATAATTAAGATTTGCAGAAGATCCTTAAATGCCATTTTCACAAACATTAATTTTGATACAAGAAAGACAATTATTTATGGATCTTCTAATGGGCTAAACCTTTTGTATTAATTGTTTGTTTACTAATATTACAGAAAAAATTATTCCAAAATTTATATATTACAAAAACTGAAGATATTAATCCGGCAAAAAAAACTGAAAACATTAGTATTACAATTAGAGGTCTAATAAATTCAATTTTTGGAATAAGGTCTGCAGCTATTAAAATACCCTACGTCTTCTAATGTGCTTATAAGATGAAGACATGTAATTATAGTTATTTAAACTTAAGATTTAATTTGATTATAGTATGAATAAGATAACTAGCACAGTTTTTTAAAATGGAAAATTAAGCTAAATTTTATTTCAAATTAATCTAGCTAGTATATTTTATTTTGTATATTACCTTAACTGAAACCTCTTATGTATTATTGCATGATGATATTTTAACGATTTATTGGCTTGTAGGAATTAGACGCATTTGGAAGCATTTATCCAAGGTCCATTGCTTTGTCAGGGTTCTCAGAGTTTACGAGACCTTTCAATGAATTTTTGATTCGTTGGCATACAAAACAACAGGAACCAAAGGTATAACTCTGTTCAACTTCTCTTACTAATCCTAATATATTCCCCCAAATGATAAGTTATGTTTTGATACTATTTCTCACTACATTCATTTGTTCTCTTAAAGAAGCAGAAAATAATAATATTACCCCCCAAACTCTAAGGGATTTTTTGTGGTTATTTTCGTACATACATGTTTGCAAAGAGCACTTATATTTAAAATTCAAATGTATTTGTTGCCTCTTAATTTTTATTTAATGGTTTCACTCACCCTAAATTCTACTATAATTTTGTTCAAATTGGGCTACGCATTTTAAAGTTCTTTTTTTTTTAAAAAAATAAATTTGAAACTGATATATCTCGTACATGGAATTCGTAGGCAATTGAGATGCCGAGACCAACTTTGAAAACTCTTGAAATTCGAGACTCTACAATAAAAGAAATTGTTGATTTGACACATGTGGGCAAAGAGAAAAATGGGGATGGACTTGAGCCATTGACGTCAAACTTACAAAAGTTGGAGTTGGGATATCTAAGGGAGTTGGTGAATATATGTGTGGGGCCTAAACATATCATATGCTTCCATTGTCTTCAAGAGCTACGAATTTATGAATGCGGAAAGCTCAAAGTTATCTTCTCCACATCTGTGGTGCGAAGCCTACCAATGTTGAAATATCTACATATATCATGGTGTGAAGAATTAGTTAACATTGTTGAAGAAGATAATGGAACAAATGATGATGATGAAAGAGAAGGGAAGATGAAAGAGAAGGTCATGAAGGATGTGCTTCCACAACTAAGTCAATTGATACTCATGTATCTTCCCAAACTTGTTAGTATCTGCCATGGGATTGATTTTCAAGCTTTGAAAGAAAATGATAACACGGAAGTGATCGATTGTCCCAACTTTTCTTTTTATGGTATGTATTGAGAAAAGTAATTTGTTCTTTAGAATTGAAAATTATTATGAGTTTTTATTATAACAATGAAATCTCTTAATCTCAGAAACTTCAACTACCCATTTTCAAGCAAGCTCTGAAACAACATATTCTCAAGTTGAAGAAAAAGCAGAGGAGAAGCTTTCGCTCATTTGAGTACCGAACAATCTTTAAATACAGGAGAAGCAACACAACAACCCCTCACAAAGGTATGATTCTGATTGCTAATGGCATCATTTTACTGCTACTTCAATGGTCCCGCATCAATGATTTATATGCATGCTTGATTGTTTTCAATTTGTAGCAATGTTCTGGAAATTCTGTCCCTTTTTGAGAAAAAACAGAGTTTGAAGATTATATTTAAAATGCCAACAATATACCCTCACGCGAGCACACACCAGAGAGCGTGTGTCTCTTCCATTGCTTTATAAATTTGACATAAAACTTAAAAAAAAAAAAAACAGACCATGTAGTTTTGGACAGGGCATTGAAGAAACAATACATTCCACTGTCATAAGCTTGTTATTTTAAAATACCAAGAGACATCATCATTATCATTAGATTTTTTTTTTGGGTTACATCAATTGATTCTTATTTTATAAGGTGATAACCTTTAAGATTTATTTTCACCTTATTAAAGAGTGGATTGGAATTTGAAATAAAAATTAATAAATAATAATATTTCTTTTAGTAAAGGAAACAAACAAAGTTACTGTCAAAACTTATTGTAGGGTCACTAATTAAATTAAAGATATGACCCCTTAGAATCCCAAAAAAATTCATCACCCAAAAAAAAAAATCCAAAGAAACAAAAATTAGAAACCTTTTCTCTGAAAACTTTAGGTTCTATCACCTATATTATTGGGATGAGATTTTCTGAAATACTTTAAAAATCCATACCCAATTCAATATAGCTCCAAAAATAGTAGTTCAAAGCTCTAATTTAGCTCTTGAAAAGCCTTCGCTCTAAGTAATTCTTAACTTTTCCCCATACCATACTATATTTGAAATCATTGGAGTCTATAAATTAATTAATGTTCATCTTCGGATGTCCCTCAAGCATGCTGGCCGAACAAGGCCTTACTAATTTAAAAACTGTTTAATAGTCCCAAACTTATGCTACAGATCAGTCCCCACAGAGGTCTCTGCTAAGCTTATCATCATATTCAAATTTAACAGATAATTAACTTCCTCTCACTAAAACTAAGTTATCCAAAACAGGGCCTTAAGAGAAAAGCTTTAAAATCTAATCCCTTTGCTGCCAATCACTTTAAAAGACCCACCAAAAAAACTTTTAGACACGTTTCTTTTTCTGTTTGTGTTTTGTTTTTGTTACATAGGTCGAACCCACAACGCACACACCCCACACACACGCACTACCCCTCGGCCAAACAGCCGTGGTTTTTAGACACACCTTTGGTATGGTTTGGGAATTTAAAACACTTGCTCCATGTCATCATATATCAAAACAGTAGCATTTAAATCTCTCTGAGCCACAAAATCTTTAATTCAATAAAATCTAAACGGTGCTGTCCAAAGAGGGGATAAGAATCAAAGTTTACATTTTAAAATTTTCCAGATTCATAAACTCCTCTTTTAAATACGTTGAGGGGTTTAGACTTCAGATTCAACCAACCTAATTCTCTTTTCCAATTAATTTGACCGAAGAAGGGAGGAGAATAAAACTTGGTTTAAATTCTACCTTGAAGCCTTTAGGCGTATGCTATATTTTAGTTCCCACTTAATTCTTTAATTTCTTTAAATCCTCACCGGAAATAGGCTTTTTGACCAATAGTTCATATTTGAGACATTTAAATTTTACATAATATTTGTAAGACTCATATATGCTTTGGAAATCTCTTTTATACATTTTGAGACTTCTCTTTGATTCTCCCTATTCCAACTACTCAAATATAAATTTAGTACATAATTAAACATAATAACAGTGGCAAAAATTCAGCTTTTCAATTCCAGATTTCAGATCCCATAGGAGAATTCAAATAATACCCTCGTGAAACAGAAACCCTAGATACAAAAATCCACCTCTTCTCACACAAAATCAACATGCATGGAATAAAATCAACTCACAATCTTTAATCCATCTTCTGAGTATGATTTAAACCGCTCATCCATATTGCAAGCTTACCTCATGAGCTTCTTATTTTGCCATTTCATGAATCCCAACCCAACAAATCTGATGCTCTTCTTTTTGGACTTAGTGCACCATGTGCAGTACCTTTTAAATTGGGTTATGTATTGGCCCAATTTCCTTTTTAGGCCGGATGTGATGAAATTGCCCCTGTGCCCATCACTATCAGTGCTAAATTTTTCTAATAAATTTTAAAAATTAATCTGGGACACATTTTATGAAGATTTATTTTTAGTTTCTCTGGCTACAAAAGTAATTTTGTTCCTCAAATTTTTATGCTGAACATTAGTCTCGAACTATTTGTGATTCAATTTTTGGAAAAATGGGCCCTTATTATCCATAAATTAGTTTTAAAATTATTAAGTCATTTTTAAAAAATATAAGCCTCCTCAAAATATTTATAAATTCTCAAAAGAATATTTCATAATATTTTTCGCAATAGTCCTAGTCCTAGAATAATTTTAATAATTATTTTTCTTTGTATTTCCTTAAATTCTGATACAAAATAGGCTTTTTGACTGATATATAATTCATTTTTGAGACATTTAAATTTTAAATAGAGACAAAGTATTCATTTAATCCTTTAAATTTATACATAATTTTAATTTAACCCCTTAACTTAAAAGGTATACTTTTAATTCTTTAATTCTAAAATTGTTAACAAAAAATAATGACATTGAGATCTTAAATATTGATAAAAGAATTCTCAAATGTTAACAACTTAACATATTAATTTTAAAAATAACCATGATTGTTACAAAAAATTATCATATAAGCCTAACGATTTTTCAGTTAAAAGACAAAATATATTTTTTAAAGTTAAGGGATCAAATTGAAACATTGTATAAAATTAAAAGACTAAATATATACTTTAGCTTTTAAATAATGTCCCCAAACCTCAAATATGCTTTGAAAATCTTTTCTCTACTTTTGGAAGCTTCTCTCTAATTTTTGGGCATTTTTTCCTAATTATAATTTTGATCTATATTTCTCTTATTTACAGTTTTGCTCTTAAATTCACTATATTTTTTAACTTTTAGGTCAACTTAACTTTTTTAATCAGTATTCAAAATTCAAATGTCACCATTACTGCTAGATATTAGCTAATAAATTAATTCTTTTCCATGGACAATAATTAGAACCGATTTAAAAAAGGTATCACCGAAACTGGGATTAATTGTCCTTTAGTTATAGATTTTTATTCTTTATCTATGTCTCTATTATACAATAATGTTCTTTTTGTGCTTTAAAATTGTCATACGAACCCAATTGTGTTTTCTTTTGTATAAAAAAATTCTATTTGCTAGAAGAAAAACATATAATTTGAAGGGGATATTTAAAATGCCAAATATAATCTCTAATGCCCATAAATATAGTTAGTCAGTTAAAGCGCGCGTGCGTGCGTGAATTTTTGATGCTTTTGACATGAACTAAGTGAAGTCTTGTTTGAAGTACCGGCCATGCTAAATAATGAACTAGAAGGGAATCCAACATTTTATACTTCTTTTTTTTTTTTTTTTTAACTTGCACTGTTTATGACCCAACAAAGAAAACTATTGAAGCGGGTATAACATTAAAATGCGAAAAAAAATGGCAATTTTATCATTGGACTCAAAAAAATTTTAAGACTTAAAGGGAGTATTTGGATAGAAACCAAACTATGGTTTAGAAGTACTTTTACGGATTACGAAGTAAATATGTAAAGGAGGTTACCTCGTTTTGCGGAAAAGTGATTCTGAAACCGTGGTTTTGGTTTTGCCAAACACCCCCTAAAAGCTTCTTTTTATATATTGGGTTGTTGGTTAAAGTACAAAGAAAAAACACACTAATTTATCATCTTTTTTTTTTTTTTTTGTAAATGGCTGTTGGTTTCTAATAGGAGGCACCAACTCATACAAGTCCCAGCATCAATGTTCTTCCTACAAGAGACAACACTT